ATGCCTGCTTTAGATGGTTCCCATCTGGCCATTTAATCTTGAAAACCACCTTGTAACATCGGTTTGGCTGAGAGATACTTAACTGGCACAAAAGCACCAAGTAAGATTTGTGACTAAGCCAAAATGTGAATTTGCATCTCCTTGTTTCAGGTCCAACATGCTACTTTATTACTAGCTCTCTCAAAGCAGAGGTTACTACATAAGTGCAACCAACATGGAAATGTTTTGGTAGAAAACCAAATGAATGTGCTTAATTTGCCCTCTGGGTTTGGAGACCTGGAATACATTACTCTTAAGTGCAAGTTGAGAAATACAAAAGGGTAAGCAGTGAAAGGCACAAGGTTTGTGACCCAGAGGGGTGGAAAAGCTTAAAAGCCCAAAAAAGCTAACTGAGTGAAACACTTTTTTTAATTTCCAGTTTTTAATGAACACTTCTGGAGTTTAACACTCAGTAACTGAGCAGCAGCTTCAGCAGGGGTTATGTACATCTAGGGTTGTGATTTTGGTGGATGGTTCCACAGTCGTCAAAAGGGCTTCATGAATAGAAAGCTTACAAAAGCAAATTAGATGGAGACTCATGGAGTAATCTGAAGATCCACATCTTTGTGGTGGAGGCCTTGGTATCAGATGTGGGGGATAGAATGAACAAGAAAGTGACAGAGATGGTGGAAGGGCAGGTTTAGCAGACTTTAACACAGAAACCATGATCACCCTTGCAAGTGTTGTGCCCATTGTATTCTGGGGTGTAGGACGTGTTCATTGGAAGTCCACCAAGAAATATCCCATTACTGGCTACTTTCCTTTGCTCCCATGTTTCCCCCCTCCAGTTTCTAGGACTTATGAATTGATGTATTTTCTTGGTCAATGTTACTTCATAGACCTCTTTGGGTGAGATACCCGAAACAGGAAAGGAAAGGGGAGAATCCATGGCAAAAGAACTGCCACCTCTTGTGTTGCCCTGTTGGTCTTGTGCTTTCAGGTGGAACACATGAAACTATCTTGTCCAGAGTCAAGCCCTTGGTCCACCTGACCTAGAAATGTCAGTTGTGACTGGCAGCTGGACTCTAAGGTTTCGGGCAGGCTACTGTCCTAGCCTAACCTGGAGACCCTCCTTAGCTTCCTTGATCAGATGAAATTGTGTGTTCAGGGTATATGTATGGTGGAACAAAGTAGAGCTGAGCAGAGCTGGAGGGAAATCTAGTTTGCCAGTTCCAGGGCTGGCACATTCTCTTGTCCACTCTTGTATGTGTGTGGGTGTTGCAGGAGGGCTGGGGGAGGAGCTCAAAGCCTCAACATGTCTTTCCAGTGGCATGTCTTTGAAATGCTCCTTTTTACCATGGGCATTTTAAAGGGAAGAGCAGTGAGAACGGCAGAGGTTTCTGTATCTACATGCAGAAAGGTGGAGTGGACCTCTTCGAGCAAATAGGGAGATCTATACCATCATATGGTCTCTGTGACTGTAGGATGGTAGCCAAAATATAATCCATGGCATCCTCCATTTCTTCCTAGTACCCTATGTCTTTATATCTCTTCATTATTCCTGGACAGGAAACCTGCCATTCCCAAGATCTCCCTCCAGAGGCTGTGATGACAAAGACTGATGGAAGGTGTAGGCCAACAATTACATTCACTGCTTTTACTTTGAAACTACATTGAGTATTAATTATCTCACCCACATGCAAAAGACTTGAACCTTATTTCTTAGATACTACCAGCAACAAAAACAGATTTCAGAAGCAGACCAAAGTTTAGCATATGAAACGTAAGTTTAGAAGTAAACTTAAGACATAGCTGTTTAAGCAGGCTTTCCCTCCTGCTGTATCTTAATATTTACATTTTTACATTTTGGATTCTTGCATGTTTATTGGTGCTATTGTTTTTTAAATTTTGTAATGCCGCCCAGAGTAGGAAAATGGTCTAGATGGGTGTGATATAAATTGAATAAATAAATAAATAATAAATAAATAACATATACCAATATTTCAAAATGATAAAAGCAAAAAAATACTCATGAATGGTGTATTAGTTAATATTTGTAATTCTTACAAGTATTGAGGCAAACTGAAATGTGAGAATTCAAGGAAATTTAACATTCTAAATAATGTCAACGTGAGTGTTATGTTTCATATGCTAAAATTTTGTCTGCTTCTAAAATCTGTTCTCGTTGCTTGTTGTCCCTAAGAAATAAGTCTTTTGCAGGTGGGTGAGATAATTAATGCTCAATGTAGTTTCAAAGTAAAACCAGTGAATGTAATTGGAATATAGCATACTTTTATGAGAACTTAACATGCCTGTACATGGATGTACACAAATAATATTTATTAGGACCAAGACCCATATCAAAATGAGATTAAAAGCATTGTGAATTGAGTCCATCTCCTGCTTAAGGATGGAAGAGCAGTGAGTTTGGTTTGTATTTTAGCATGAACGAACATAATTTGCATTTCTCAAACTAGTACATGGATCAGAACATAATTATCCTTCAGTTGTTGCACTTTTCTGAATAGTATGGTTTAGTTCTCTGGTTGTTTAAAAATGTACAGAATGTATACTATTAGACAAAAATCTGTAGGGGGGCGGAAATCACACACAATTGCAAAGTGAGGTGGAAAAGGAAAAGAATGGATTTCTGCTTCAAGATATTTTTTTAAGTGCCTTCCCCCAGTCTCACTTTTGTCAAAAGGGGATAATGGTGATGGAGCCATTAGCCAAGATGCTGTAGCATAGAGTCTTTCAGTTTTCTGCTATGCTGCAGATGGCCAGATATTTTAAAGTACAGTACATTTGTATACAAGTGACTGTATCAGTTTTTCATTGTATTTGTGGAAAGAGAAATTGAGAGGACAATTTCACTGCCATTCTCAAGGGAAAGAAGAAATTCCCCAACGTTTTCTCAGAGCTGGGGTCCCTCCCAGAAATTCTCCCCCCTCCAGCCGGGTTTTGGTTTTGGCATTGCCATGGTCAATGGCGACAGCAAGAGCCATGTGGACTGCCTGGTCACTATTTTGCTCTTTTTGGAATTCCTTCCTCCCGTGCTCATTGCAGGTTATTGTGGTGATGGCGGGGGCACAAAAAATGGTGCAGACATTTTGGAATCCATTCTGCAAAAATGGTCTTCTGTTTAACCAAGGGAGGCGGTGTTAAAGGGAAAAAATCTTGAAATTAATATTTCCCAGAGGTTGGGAGTTCGATTCCCCGTGGTGCCTCCTGGGAACAGAGCCAGTCTGTATGGCCTTGCGGGCAAGCTGCACAGTCCTAGGATGTCCCCAGAAGAAGGGAACGATAAACCACTTCCATGTGTTCTCTACCTGGAAAACTGTAAAAGAAGGGTCAGAAAAAGGGGCACCATAAGTCAACATTGACTTGATAGCACATGATTATTTTTATTATTTTTTAAAAATGCCTTTTGACAAATTTTGGTTCAGCACCTGTCATTCTTCAGAAACCAGCATGTTTCCTCGGTTCCCAAATGTTATATTTCTGAGAAGTAATTGTAAGTCCTGCCTGCCTGCAGAGCCTCTAATACCGCAGACCCTGCAACAGGCATAAGCGACGGCAGCGTTACGTCAGGTTGCAGAAAAATATGAAGCTAGTACTGTGCAATCATTTGTTCTCTTAAGTTCCCAAAGTTTTATTGTCCTGTGAAAGAAGCTTCCATTGTAATGCTGTATTCTCAGGGCTCTTTATGCATATATATTTGGTTGTATTTTGCAATGACTACAGCCCAAAATATTGTGTTTGTTTTTACTTTTTCTTTCCATTAAATGTCTCTTTGTCACTCTGCAGCTTTCTTGGCTGCTCACACTTCCTAATCTGAAAACGTGTTGTGGGAAGAGTTATCTTGTGACTTTTTCTCCTGGGAAATTCAGGAATCTAGGGATGCTACAGGCTGCCACTGAATCAATTGCATACTAAAAGACAACACACACACACACACACATTAATCATCTACCTCAGAAGGCAAGGACAAAAATCCTGAATCTCATCCACGAGAATTTACCTACAGTGTTTTTTCCTCTGAAATTCTTTTTTGAAATTCTTTTCTGAAATTCTATAGACTTTTTTAAAAAAATCAAATTGAATGAGAATCTAATGGTTGTTCTGGGTTTTTTGGGCTCTTTGGCCGTGTTCTGAAGGTTGTTCTTCCTGACGTTTCACCAGTCTTTGTGGCCGGCATCTTCAGAGGACAGCAACCTGTGCTCTGGAATGAGAATCGTCAAAATTATCATGGAAGAAATTTTCTGCACAGCACTATTAAAATGTAAATTGAAAATGTATTTATAAAACTCTGTTATCCCTCTATCTTGGACTGTTAGTTGTCAAGAATGTGAAAAACAAGGTGCTGAACACAGGAGAAACAGTTCCAGTCAAGTACACTTAAATGCCTAGCAGAATCAAAATAAGTAAACCCTGAATTCTGGCAATTTCTACTAAACAAGGAGATCAGATCTTGTTGACCACTCCTAATAATCCCTGCCCACATGGAGTTAATGCTGGCCAATGCTTGCTAATAGTACAGATGGACTGGCAGGATTATCACTGCTAGAATAGCAGTGAGGATGCATAAAAAGCGATAAGGCTGCCAGTGGGACCCTGTTCTCTAAAACAAATGTACCTTGTTTTCAGGAAAAAAAATCCAGTTTCTTTTCTTTTCTTTTTTCTTCTTCTTTTTCTTGCCACCATGTTTCAGTGGTGCATGGCAGCTATGGGATCCACGTGTATGAGATCCATGGCTGGGTCCATTGAAACTGCTCAGCCCTGGTGGCAAACTTTGGAGAAGATATACATAAAGAGTCTAAAGGTGATGAGATCTGGGGTGTTGTTGAAAGGTCACCATGGAAAAGATGGAGCACTACCTGTCAAAGCAAAACAAAAAAGGCAAAAGCTAAACAAAACAGAAACTCACCCCCTTGGGCTTTGTACTAAGAAAATGGGGGAGACCTAACCCTTTTCATTTTCCTTCCAGGAGCTCAAGCATAATTTTCACTTACTCTCAACAGGCACTTGCTGAATGTGACCTGGGAACACAGGGATTTGTCTTTCAATGAAGGTGGATACTTGGTGAGACCGACCATGATAGTCATTTCACTAAACCGGCATCGGCACTGGGAGATGGTGAGATCGCCTTTTTTTCTTTCCCTTCTCCTGTCTTGTTTGTGAGCCCTGGCATGATGGTTCTGGAATACATTTGCCTCGTTCTGCCTATGAGATCCTTTTTTTTAACTTTAAAGTTTCTTGGTAGGTCTATGCTCATAGTGGGGGTGGGAAGGAAGAAGCTGAGAGGAAAAAACCTTGGAGAAAAGCTTTTAGCTTTAAGTAGAGCTGCCCCCACCAGTAGGCAAAGCAAGGTGACCACATCAGACTTAAGGGGCTGGCTGTGTCTTCTGTGTTTTCTATCATCCCCCTCTGTTGGAGAGCTGTAGATGTCATATGGCTTGACCCGGGTGTCTTAAACTAGCTCATTGCCCTCAGGTGCATGAATGCTAAAGGAAGTGTCAACTGGGAGTGCAGTTGGCTTGTGTATGTGAAGTGAATGTTGCCGAGATGCTTCAGGCAGCTCACCCTAGATTTAATTTAAATCAATGGTAACCCAGATGTTCTTGGATGCAGTTCCCAGAAACTTTCACCACCAGCTGTGCTAGCTGGAGTTTCTGGGAGTTGCAGTCCAAGAACACCAGGGCTACCCAAGGTTGCGATCCACCGGTCTAAATGTTTGCATGATGGAACTCCCCAGCTGCTACTTCTTATTGTACTTTCCGTGTTCTGTTCCCCTGCTTCCTTTGAGAGGATAGGTCGAACTAGATTATTCCAAGTGGAATATGATGCTTTCTTGAAATCTGCATGGCAATTTAATTTCATTTCATGAACAAATTGAAGCACCATGAAATGAAATTTTGGATTCATTTATTCAGTGTTATACATCTAATTTAAGTAATCTGTGATGCCTTGGTAATGTATCACATGCTACAGGGCACATATAACTCAGCTGGATGAGTGCACCGAGAGGTCCTTGTTTGTGCAAGATTGCTTTGTAGTTTCCTTTTGTTCATGTGGAATTGAATTAAAAGCAAAATGGATAAATGATATGAAAACAAATTGGCTTAACTGAGTTATGTATCAGAGATGAAGTTCTTGAAAATAAATCATAAGCCTTGTCAATAAAATACAGTCTTTGCATGTTGAACACAAACTAAAGGGGGGGCTTCGTTGGATGATGTTTAGATGAGATTAAACATGGAGATCCAGAGCCAATCCTCAGCCGCATGATTTCCAACATGGCCAACCTCAGAGAAATAAAGGGGAAATGACATATCACTGTTTTATTCTTAGGTATTTGAATATCCTGCCGCCAGCTGTAAATGCAATTTCCACACACTGGAGTACCATAGTTTGTATCCAAGTCTTATTCTTTTGCTTGGCCCATTTTTTCTCAGATATGATTGGGCAGAGTGAGGAAGCCTGCTAGGAAGCACATAAAAGGACATTAAATTGTTAATCATTTAATTTGTTACTGAGATGAAGAGAGGTACTTGGTTTGTTTTCTGCCATAGGGGCCAAAACAGATACAATAGCCTTGGGGTACTATTCATTTTGACAGTTCCCCTGCAGCTCATCATTATATACACATTGATGGAGAGTCCGACTGCCATGTCAAGGGAGGGAAATTCAATCCCTCCCCTACTTTGCTCCCTGTTTTTCCCTCTCCGAGGTTAGGATGCATACTCACAGTGCTTTTTAAAGCATTTCCTTTTTCACTACATCTCTCCATTTTCTCTCTATATGCTAATTTTTGGAAGAAGATGGAGAAAGAACATTGGAAAAAAAATTTCAAACCATGTTTGAAAACCATATTGGGCTACCATCAGTTGCATCTGAGTCTGTTTATGCAACTAGATACTCATACTAATAATGGAGTGTGGAGTATTTCCCATCTCAGTAATTTGGCCTCTAAGCAGTTGCAAAGTGTTTTTTTTTTTAAATTCAAAAGCACTAAAAATCTTTGAAGAAAAATGGTCTCTGATGGCTAAATATTCCTAGTGGAGATGGGGTGATGTAATTACCTGTCTCAATAAATATGTGCCACTGGATGTTTCTGGCTGGATTTTCCAGTCTTTTTGGAAGAATGTAAAAATACTGTCAAAGTATTCAGCTAAGGCTATCTATGGAATAATATTGGTGTTAATAAAGTAAGTCCTGCTGTCTGTGCAAATGTCTTCCGTTGACATTTCCCCTTTTTGATATGATTCTCTTGGGTCGTTAAAATGTTCTCCAGTGCATCATAGCAAGGACTACATACTATTGCTTTGTCCATAGTTCTGCTCATAAGGGTTCTGAAACCATGGGTCAAGCAAAGCTATAAACCAAGAAAATATGACTGGATATGCTGTCTTAGAAAACGCTTGTCTGATCATGTTTCCTGATGTTCTGTAAACAAAGTGCCTGAGTGGTGTGCCACATTAATGAAAAAGTAAAGAGGTCTTTCTCTGAAAAAGAGTAAAACCTTCCCGTTGCCATTCTGGCTTGTAGTACTGTATTTCTTTTAGGTTCCCGTGTGAAGGAGAATAAACTCAGTTGGAAACGTGTAGTTGAAGGCATCAATTTAGATGTCTCAAATTATAGACTACAGAACTGTGATAACCAAATTTTGGGAGTTGATTTTGAAAATTCAAGAAAACATGTTTTCAGGTGGTAAACTACAAGTTTCAATAGTGAAACTTGTCTGTTTAATGTTTGCTATCCACATCCCAACTGTTGGAATATAGTCCCCCACCCACCCAAGAAATTTGGTTTGATGATTTTCAAACACTGTAAACCTATCACTTTATGAGACTACAGTACATATATACTGAGGTCATCTTTAGATGGTGTCCCCACTAAAGGGTGGATGGTAATGGAGGAAAGAGCCTTCTTAGGGGTGATATGTGGGTTGTGAAAGGTGGCTTGCCTGGTGTTTACTTTGATTTCCTTTGGATACCAGGTAAACAACTTCTTACTTCCCTACGTATTTTAAATATGAGTTTTTATCTTCAGCTATTGATTTATATTTTGCTTTTTTGGGATTAAAAATCTATGCTGGAGAAGAACTGGGAGTGGGGTCAACATGGGTCATCTAGCATTTGAGATAAGCTTTTTGAGCTTGTAAAACTCGTATTTCTGAATCTGTAAATACAACTCTTGGCAACATCTCTGGTTTTAAGTGGTTCTTGAACCATCTGGACCCTTCTTTGATAACTTTATTACATAGGGGGTTTTTTGGTCACGCTATATACAAATATTCATAAATATAAAATGTATGTTGTTAGGCACATAATTTGAAATGTGCTTTGGAGCAAAATAATAATAGTCTAATGGATTTTAAAGACATTCTAGCTTAAATTCTGGCACTCTTGTCTTTTCGGCAACATTGATGGGGTCGTGGGCAAAACAAGCAAAAAAATAGTGTTGACTGTTGCTCATGAGGCACACTTCAGTGTTGGTTTCAACATAATTTGCGACTAGAATGGTTACAGAATTATGAGAGAGGAGAATGTTCCCTTGTGTCCAGTGCAGATTTAATCCATATCAGAGTAATCTCCTTGCTCAGACATCTGACAAGGAAAAGGGTTTGGTTTCTCCAGGGAAGCAATTCAAATACTAACCCTGGAGGTTTCTGGTGAGTGCATTACTCAGCCTTTGGCTGCAATGTCTAAGTAACAGGGTTACAAATGAGATAGCAGATGGGGAGCAGGAGACCTGGGGTGAGCAGTGGGCTGGCTTGTATTCCACCTAGTTACTGGAAGCAGGCAAATGTTACTGAGGAAAAGAAAAGCTGTACTCACACTGCTCCATTTTAGATCCCTTTGCCTTTTGCCATCTAGTTTATGCACAGTTTCTGTGGAAAAAAAATAGCCAATTTCCACTAGGGTTTTTAAATACTTAACGCATTTAAAACAAATATTAAAAAAATTATTTCCACAATAATAAGTGCTATTTCCCTTGCAGTTGTGTGTGCAATTGTGTGTGTGTGTGTGTGTTCTGAAATGGCCTCCATTCAGTCTGGGGAATGGAAATGAAACATCTGTCTTCTAGGTCCAGAAAAAAATAGACTGAATGTTAACTGTCCCCCACGGTCCATTTACCCATCATTAGTGTCAAATAGTTGGGCAAATTTTTCTAGGTTATGACTGCTTGGAGGCTATAGATGTTTTTCTCTGTGTAGGGAAAAAGGCTGTCAGCAGCTTGCAATCTGACGGCGCCGGAATCATTATTGACTTGCTTTTGACTTCTCGGCCCATTCAGAATGTTCATTTTCTTTCGACAGTAAAAGAACACAGAGATTCATTTCTGTGGGCATGTGGCCTCCTCCTCCATCACATTTTCCACCAATGTCCTGTTGATTCTGTGCAGGCTAAAATGGCTGGCCCAAACCAGCCTAGGTGATTGGGATCTTGGCAATCCAGTGGAGAGCCTCTTTTATTCTGTGGTTCAAACAATTATGATATCCTTCACTTTCTGCTCTTGTGTAGGTAGGGAAATGGGAGAAGGGGATCATCCACATGAAATATCCAGTGTGGCCACGCTACGGATCCTTCCTGCAGCCCATGGCAGACAATCGCCACCTCACCGTTGCCACCCTTGAGGAAAGACCCTTTGTGATTGTGGAGAATACAGACCCAAACACGGGAGTGTGTGTTCGCAATACTGTCCCCTGCCGGAAGCAGCCCAACCACACAGAGAGGTAAATGGGGGAGAGGGAAGCAAAGAAAGAAACGGAGAAGTGAGATAGAAGCACTGCTGTGCATTCACTTCAGGCGACTACAAACATGAACTTGTATGGGGTTCCAGCCAAAGCTGATAGGCGACGTTTAGTTCTATGGTGAAGCAAAATATTCTGACATGATTCAGTCGAAGCCCTTGATCCAAAACAACTGGTAAAATTAGCATCACCCGCCTTTCATCGATTTGCCAAGGAAAACTAAAATGCCTATCATTTTTGGGTTTTGTGCTGATCCTGGAATTTTAGGCATGAGAGATCCCAAAGAAGGGAGTAGCCGCCAGTTAGTGAGCAACAAGGGATTTTCTTCTTCCTGAAAGAAGAAAAAAACAGCAACCCAAAATGAGTGCTCCATCTTGCACATTCATTCCCCCAGGCACTCTATGACTGCCCGCATAGCTTGGCTGATTCTAGAAAGAGAATTTATCCCTTGATCTGCTGCTTGCCTGTGTAGCCCGGGTGCTCTCCATGCCAGTTTTTTTGGGGTGTTTTTTTGCCACCACCCCCACCACCCCAAATAATGTCTTGGCCTCAAGGACCAAGAATGATTGACAAAGCTTGCTATGCAACAGATAGGCTATGCAGGTAGGTGTCAGGCAGAAAGGTGCTGCCGCTGACTTTCTCCTTTGATTTTTCTCCTGCAAAGCAGCTGAGCTATGCAGACAGACAATCAGCCACTGGCAATGAGGATGAATGGGCAAGACTGAGCACTCAAGTCAATGTATTTCACTTTACTATGGAGGTGCCCAGCATGCAAACCCATTAAGCTAGCTATGTGAAATTCAGCAGATTTTCTCCCCTCCTTAGGGTCTAGAATGTCCTCACACTTCAGTCACACACGTTGGTACAAAACCAAAAAAGTGGGAGTCTCTTTTGGTTGCCCAGTGCAAATCAATGGGAACTAAATTTACAGATTGATCTGGATCTGTGACGCAAATAAAATGAGACCCAAACTGAGCCAGACAGAATTGGGGTCCAACTGGAACACCAAACTGGCCTCCAAACACACTCTCAGCCATAACTTTAAGGGTCAGTGAGTCCTTCAAGTGTTATTCACAGTAGCATTTAGGCTGGATGTTTCCATTTAAAAAGCATTGTTGCCAGTCTACTGACCCAGCTGCTAGAAATGCATCCTAATCAGGCCAGGTCATAGGCTTCGGGTAAGATTATTGCATTACTCAGTTTGCTGGGTTTTGCCCAGATATTAGGCATGCAGCCTGTAGAATAAACTCTGTTCTTACTCACATGTAGAACCTATATGGGAACAGGAACCTCTTGTCTTCAGTCTTTTCTCTGCACATGTACAGGAAGCAACACTGCAGGAGGCAGGGCTAGGCGCTCAGCCCACTATGCTCACAAAACTGCATGATAGTGTGTCAGTCGTGGAGGATTCCAGTCATACTCTCAGGGATCTAAAGAGCAATGATGCCAGAGCTGAAAAACCTGTTGCTGAAGAAACAATGCAACAATAAATGTGTTTAATTTGAATAGTATGTGAGCAGTGAGCAGGACTCGGAGAAATGTGAATATGATAATGGTAGCCTTAAGCCAATGAAAGTTTCTGGTCCAGGTGGGCAGCTTGCAGCCCCCCCCAAGATGTCGTTGGAATGCATTTCCAGCTAGGGAGCAGAACCAAACATGACAGAGGAGAGTTGCCATTGTAAAGCATGCTGTACGGTTCCACACTCTGTTTTTATGTTCTTGCTTAATATTTTGGAAATTCTGGGTGATGAATGATGTAACAAAATGAATTGGGGGCGGGATACAGTGTGCCGTTCATGTGTGAGAAAAGTGCAGCTGCACAACTGAATGGGCAAACCTTCATTCCCTGATGGTAAGCTGGCTCAGCTGTCCGTCTTTCTCCCGCTTCCGACAGTTGCTTTGCATTTCACTGACACTTTTGTCCGTCACGGACTTTTTCTGCCATTTCACATTCTCTTATGTTGGGGGAAGTGTCCCACAACTACAGGAATGGCCTTCTCGCTACATGCTGCATGTCTGAAGTGGGGGAGTGGAAATATTTTTTTCTTTCGGAGCCTGGCTTAAGTAAGGCAACCAGGATTGCCAAGCCCCTTCCAGGTTGCTTCATGTTGTGTAGGAGGAGAAAGCAGGAGAAGGAGGGGAAGTGGTGCTCATTTCCACAGCTCTGGTACATTTTGCTCACATTTTGCCTCAAAGGATGGATGTCAGAGTCCAGGATGAGCAATCTATGTGAAACATGGGATAAAAAAGGAGTGAAGCACAGGGTCATTGAGTGCCTTCCAGTACAGTTGTGAAGCTACACTGCACCTTTTTCAATTGGACACCCCTCAGATCAGTGGAACTACAGTGCCCAGCACTCCTGTCAACACATGCACTGATGTCTAGGAATAGTAGGCATTATATACTTCAATGCCTCCAAAGTGGACCTGGTTGGATAGGATGCTCTCATAGTGAGTTCTCATTTTATGTTACTGCACATATCTTTTCTCCATCCATGTAAGCACTTAGAATGAGGTAAGGTACCGGTCTTCTGCCCTTGCCATTAACTATGGAGAAAAGAAGAATATTCCACTGGCTCAGTGTATAGGAAGTGTACTCAGCAACAAGCATGCCGCCTAAAAGCAGATGAATGTATGTCTATGTATATTACTTTCTATCTCATGCAATTAACTGAATTTGCTTAAATGGACATGGATATATGGTGTATAGGTTGAGAATACTCAGGGGTTATTTACCATTTCCTTCTTCTGGGGGTGCCCTGGGACTATGCAGATTGCCCATGGCTACATGGTTTGGCTCTACTCACAGGGCGGCACAGTGGGGAATTGAACTTCTAACCTTTGGCTCTGCAGCCAGATACCTAAACTGCTGAGCTATCCAGCCAGCACCATTCAATAAAAACCTCTGTTTTTCTCAAAGGATTTTGCTTGAAGAATTTTGCTTCATGACCATGGACAGCAGTTCCCTGTAGCAAATCAGTGATCTCTAGTAACTGAATATTGGGGATCCCCTTTTCAGCAGAAGATGTTCTGTCCTTTCTCCTGATGGGTTTTCTGTGCCTTTCACAGGTGGAAAACAGGGAGAGATGTTGATAAATGTAGCTTCTCCAATGGCTGCCTGTCTCTACATGCTGGGAAAATGTTCACATAGGTGCTTTCTGCCCACCTGGCAACTGTCAAAAGGGACTCAGCCCCACCAAAAGAAAGTATTGGTGACTCTAGCTGAGTAGAGCTTGCTGTTTCCTCTAAAGCACCGAGGAAGGAGTTTGAGACAGGGCACTGTTTCATTGTTGACAGCTGGACAATTCTGGACAAGGCTGGGCTTGTTCCAGTGATGAGGGCTCACACAGGATGCCTCTGGCTCGCAGGTACCCTTGTTGCTCCTGACCCAGTCAGGAGCCCTTGGAGCAGAACCCTTGCTTCCTGTGCTCTAGTTCTGTCCCTCTAAATGCTGTGATTCCCCAACAGACTGCCTGGTGAGCTGGCCCATCAATTACACTTCCAGGAGGGCAGCCTATGTGCAGTGACCCAGCCTGCAGACTGGAGGCAGTGGCTGTTCCTTAGAGGCAGCTATCTGGAAAGGTGGTCATGGCAATCACCTGGTCGCCACCCTTGTTGGGACCCAACCAAAAAAATATGTGCACAGCTATTAATCACCTGCCTCCTGCTAACCTCTCCACAGCTCTCTGGTCAAGGTTGTGTTATCATTCAGTCTCCTGGGTGAAAGTGTAGTAACTTTTCTTCCCCTGAATAAATATAGGTGGAAAACTGGAGAAGGCAGTCAGCCATTACAGAACCAGAGATTCTGAAAGCGCCTTTCCATGGACAAAAGGAGAGAGAGAGAGATCAGACTATCCTGAAATAGAACAACCCCATTGTGATGCAGGTACATCCTGCCCTTGAAAAAATAGCTTTTCATGTCGTAGCTCCCAAAATCTCTTGGCCAGCCATTCTGACCAGGGGAATCTAGGAGTTGCAGTCCAAAAAGGAACTGTTACAGCCTCTGTCCTGTATTATTTTGAAAGGCTTTGTGGGTTGCGGTCTTTTTTCTACAACCTAGTAGTCTCTGGGCTGGATGAATAGCTCAGTGAGTTAGGTATCTGGCCGCAGAGCCAGAAGCTGGGAGTTTGATCCTCCATTGTGTCTCCTGTGAGTAGAGCCAGCCTGTGCGGCCTTGGGCAAGCTGCACAGTGCCAAGATGCCCCTAGAAGGAGGGAATGGCAAACTCCCTTTGAGTACTCTCTACCTAGAAAACTCTGAAAAGGGTCGCCATAAGTCAGAACTGAATTGACAGCACATGATGATGATGACTTGCAGGACTCTCCCTGCTGTGAGTTCATTATAAAAGTAGCTTGGATGAATATATGTAACCATTTTCAGTGGGGCTGGATAATATCTATCCCTTGAGATATTCTTGGGCTGCAACTCCATGAATCTGGGCAAGCATAGCTAAGGCGAAGGATGATGAGAGTTTTAGTCCAGCAACATCTGGAAGGTGACATGTTGCTCATCCCTTATTTACAAAGTAGTGATTTGTCATTATATTGATGGAAACACTTTTACGTATTAGGAAATGTCTCACTCTGGAATTATTTTGGACATCTCCTCTTCCTCCCTCTTTAATATCAACATTTTAGGTGCTGTGCTCTCTGTCACTCTGTAGTGGAAAAGCAAACAATTTCTGCTGTTGCCCCCTACGAACTGCTCCCTGAGATGGCTGCTTCATTCTGCCTAATGTTAGAGAGTGACCCTCACTTTTAGACACGTCCATAAACTTCCATAAACAGACAGGAGGCAAGAATGAGACTCTGAGAAATTAGCGTAGCATGAATGGGTGAAATGCCAACATTTTGATATACCTGGAACATGTTTGTGAAATGGCTGAAAAGAAGTGAGATGTTGGACATCATTTGTAATGGGAAACAAAGTGATATTTTAAGAAAGCCTCATCTTAAGGTGGAGTCTAAGCGGTTTCATACAGGACTGTACAAAGTGGCTTCCCATACTAGCAGGAGGTGTTCATCTTCCTTCTATTTCTTGTTAGTATGGTTTTTCCTGCTACTTATGTTAGAGAGTGACCCTCGCTTTTAGACACACCCATAAACTTCCATAAACAGACAGAAGGCAAGAATGAGACTCTGGGAAATTAGTGTAGCATGAACGGGTGCAATGCCAACATTTTGATATACCTGGACCATGTTTGTGAAATGGCTGAGGTGCTCATCTTCCTTCTGTTTCTTGTTAGTATGGTTTTTCCTGCTACTGACTGGAAGATGACTCATTCCTCTTCCCCCTTGGGAGTGCAAAGTTATTAGTAGCTCTCCTGGTATTAAGAACAAAGTATTTCCCACCTGGGAGTTTAACAATTGTTGCAAATCACTGAGTAGGGCAAGAAAAAGTCACCCTGCTTATTACAGTGTTTACCCCTTTCTGCTCAGTTCTTTTTGAGCTTGGAGACATCTCCTCCATCCATATGCTTCAGTTCTCTGTTCCTCATCTCTCTCTTTGTCTTTCCCTCCCACCTTCTTGGTTTCTCACAAACCCTGCATCATAACCTCACAAATGTTTAGAGGGCAATAGCAGTAAAAGTACATGCTGACAGCTGGAATGTGCGTGAGCCTTTATGTGTGTGTAGCTGTCTTCTGTAATTGCCGTCACCTACAAAGAGAGGCTCACAAGGTAACAAAGGTGGGAACATCGGCCTTTACCACCACTGATTAAGTTATACAGCTTATTTGCAAGAATACATAACATCATATCCACTGATTGGGACATGATCCATTATTCAGGACCATGCTAATCTGCTGCTGATTCTCTGTTCCTGTGTTTTTACAAAGGCAGCAGAATGGCGAAGTGTGGTTGCTGCATCAGGCTGCTGTGTCCAAATGACTTGAGATATAGCCTGTCTGAAGCAGAGTTATGGAGTCAGTAGCTGAAGTGTTGCTTTTGGTAGACATGCAACGACCTTTGGTTCAGAAGATACTGAACTACTTTCTTAATCCCAGGATGGTGACCACGATGGTCTGACCATAGTGCTGCTTGCAAAAGACTGATATACATGACCTATGTGTGTGTGTGTGTTTCATGTTCTTCTTTCAGTGTTGATGGACCTATGGACCCTTACACCAAGCTCTGCTGCAAGGGCTTTTGCATTGATATCCTAAAAAAGCTAGCCAAGACCGTCAAGTTCTCTTATGATCTCTACCTGGTGACAAATGGGAAGCATGGAAAAATAGTGGATGGTTTCTGGAATGGCATGATTGGTGAGGTAAGGAGATAAATAAGTGAAGTCAATTAGTATTAGGAAAAGTACATAAGAGCGCCCAGATGGTGAGAAACAGATAAGTCTTGCAATGGGCAAAAGATTCCCAATCTGAGGTTCTTTTGATGCTTCAAAGAAAGTGAGAGCCTCTGAATTTAGAGCTGCAGCCTCTCATCCTTAACAAGATTTAAGGATTTAGAGTTGGAGCCTCTCATCCTGAACGAGGACTGAACAGTTTTGCATGAAAATTCAGTGCCATCCTGTTCCCATGTACACGATGGCAAGCCCACTTGCCTCGCCTCTCAGTAGACATATAGAGATATCCATAACGCAAAGAGGGACAGTTTTATCTGAGCTGTTAGAAATGGGATAGAAATATGGAGACATTATACCCCATTGCACTTCAGGGTGCTCTGCCTGCTGTGCAATAGCCTCAGAAGAAGTCATAAATCCATCTGAATGGGTTGTCTGTGTTATGTTTCGAGCCAGCGTGAGTCAGCAGAGCAGCACTAAGCGGCCGGAGTGTGTTGGCAAATTCAGCTAAGCTTCCCTAAGAGAAGAAGGTGGAGCCCGGCAGGAAACAAGGGAGGGGGTATTAGATGTACAGCCTTGAGTTGTAACTGGAATGCAATTTCACCAACAAATAGGGATTATTTTTGCTCAAGGATTTCAGCTATTAAATGTTTCCACAAGGGAGGAAGTGCTAAGATTTTTTCTAAGGAGTCAGAAAGTATCTCTTGTTTGGAGCATCCTCAGGAACACTGAAAGGGATGGTCGGATTCTCAAGCAAATGTCTCTTTGTTTAGAGAAATGAAAACATTTTAATGTATCGGGGATGTGAAGAAAGGTCACCAGTGTCTTGTTTGTGGATGAGAGGGTTTGGAGAGATGTGGCTTGCCTCCAGCATAAGAGATGATATACCAAGTCATGTTTTCCTGGAATTTGAGCAAAATATCTTTAGGGTCTTTTCCTTTTTTGAAGTTAAGCATACATCCGACAAGCATAAAAGGGCAGACAGTTTGCTCACAAAGACCCACATAATGGTTACATTTAAAAATATATACATATAAGAATAAGATAGCAGTTAACATTGTTTTAGGTTTTGGACAATTGCACAAAGTTCAATCTTACAAATGCATACACCCTCAGTAAAAACCTTGCGCTCTTATTTTGAAGAGAACCTTGTTTATTCTTTCTTTTTTAATGTGGAAAAACAAATTAGTGCACTGTCTACATCCCTAGATGTAATCCAACCCACCCTCTGGGTTTCAGTTATGGGTGTTCTTGGACTGATGTTTCTGGGCTAGACATAGTACAGACAAACAACATTTTGATTTGTTTTTGTAATTTTGACAATGCTGCTGATTCCGTGTGGAAGACCGGTGATGCTGGCAATGGGTTCAGTACTCTAATCAGTTCTTGTATTATTTTCGCATCATGGATTACAAAGGTCATTCGACAGTGCATTTTGCATTGCTTGCCCTAGGTGTCAAAATTGCTAGTTAACAGCCCTGTTTACAGTGCCAGTGTATGTTTACCCAGAAGTAGATCCCATTGTGAGGGTTAATCATAGACAGGTGAGATGGGGTGGCCTTGAAAACAAACAAATGCAGCTCTAGACAGTGAAAGAATTACCTAGCCCAAGAGATTCTCCTCAGTTGTTTGGGAGCTATTTCTCTTGTGTGATTTATTCATGTTGTTTCATGCCTTCTTTCAACCCTCAAGGTGTATTACAAGCGAGCAGACATGGCCATTGGGTCTCTTACCATCAATGAGGAGCGCTCACAGATCGTAGATTTCTCTGTGCCCTTCGTGGAGACAGGCATCAGCGTTATGGTAGCCAGAAGCAATGGGACGGTCTCACCCTCTGCTTTTTTAGGTAAGATGCAAAGTCAACAGGATGGAACAAGCAGAGTCTGTAACAAAAAAGGGAACGTGAAAGGCTTTTGTCGCTCTTCCAGTCTGTGGTCACTGTCTTCCTTCATGATACTTTGTTCCATTCCAGCCACTTCTGTCCTCAACCCACTTTGGCCATACCAGTGGGATGGCCATACCATCCTTGATGGTCAGTTTAGGGAGTTTACTTTCTCTCTTAGCATTCTTTTGAGAATTCATGAGCAAAATCCAGTTCTTAGGGCCAGCTAGAATCAGTTGCTAAGTGGTAAGCTGAGACTTACATAAATCCCCTTGATTCAAAGCTTTTACACTAGTTGGAACTATCAGTGGGATTCAAGGCTTTGTATACTTCTCCACACCTCAGGGTTTGCCCAGCGGATATTGATACCTGCTTTTTCTGGAAGAAATGGTGTTCTTTTTGGTTATATATATAGCAGTCCTCCTGGCTGAACATCAGAAAGAGAGGGAATGATTTTCCAATGTAATTTTCAGATTGCAACTATTAATGATAATGGAGTTTTAACTACCTAGATAATGGGAATACTAGCATACAATTATGGATGTGTATAATGTTTTTCTGTTTCAAATTGCAACATGAAAATGATGATTGTGAGGGGATGGAAATATTTTTGCAAAACATTATGCTTGAATGTTTAATGTTAGTGTCTTGGTTTTTGGCATTACTTCCCTACTGTTGGTTCTAAGGCTTTTTTCTCTCTTTTTGTTGGCTTCTTCCTTGTATTAATGATGCCAGACAATCAGGGTTTGCCCGCGGTGATCACATCGACACCCAATGCTCTGTGATTGCAATTTGGCTATGAGCTGATGTCACTGTGAGTGAAATAATCAGCAAGCACAAATGAACAAGATGACATTACTATGCTAAAAGCCTACCGAACGTGACTAGGTATATACCCTGTTTCCCTGAAAATAAGACCTAACCTGAAAATAAGACCTAGCATGATTTTTCAGGATGCTCATAATATAAGCCCTACCCCCAAAATAAGCCCTAGTTAAGTGAAACCCTGCCCCTCCACCATTGTGCAGCAACCAGAAGATAATGACATGACTGTATTTGAATAAATGTAAATTGTTGTACATGAAAAAATTAAAACATCCCCTGAAAATAAGCCCTACTATGTTTTTGGAGCAAAAATTAATATAAGACCCTGTCTTATTTTGGGGGAAACACAGTATGTCAGTAAGGGTAAGTAAAATTAGTAGAAAATGAGAAGAAGAAAAGGCAGTGTAAGTGAAAGGAAGATGTAATCTCAACAATAATAAGAAAAGAATATGTTTTTCAGCACTGCCAGGGACAATAATAAAAACAGTTGTACGTTTGACTCAGTTGAAACCAGAAATTGGAAATTGTTGTTTTTTGGCTATGGGATTCTGTGAGTTGTGCTCCACAAACCCAAAGTTTCCCATCTCTAGTCTGAACACTGCCAAATATGTTCTTGAAATGCACAGGGAACAAAGATGTGCATAAAGATGATGGGCGATTCACAATTAGGGATTGCAAATTAACAGGTAGGGTTGAGGGTGACAAGTAAGAAAGAACTGAGTGAGAGAACAGAGACCGTAGCTGAACTACAGTCAGGTGAATTGGGGAGAACTTGTCAAGATGTGATAGCTTGAGATGTTACGAGAGAGAGAAAAAAAGAACTAGGTGGGCAGCGGGTGAAAGAACAATGAACCTGAAATAATGCATTTCAACTTGCTTTGGAAATTGGCAGGAAAAGTCATATGATTGGAAAATCTAAATGAAAAGGGTATCAAAGCAGGCTGGCAGCAAAGTGATATAATCAGAGATATACCGTGGTTGCAAACGATTCCCCTTTCCATGGCAAGAAGAGATAGCAGGGCTTTGAAGAATTCTGAGCTGTCAAGATATATGATATTCATTACATTCCTGTTATCTACCACATTAGCTCATTCCATCAGTGAAGGAGGCTTACTTAGGTTGGTATGATTTGTTCTTACCAAATTCATGCCAGCCACTAGCAATCGTTACAGCTCTTCTATATATTAATAAATGTGTTGTTTCATTATCTACTATAATTAACATTTCAGAGACACAAATAGCTTGTCATTTTTCAAGGATCCTCTCACATCCTCCTCTACTAAAAACAAACAAAAACTTTGCCCTTGTTCAGTGGATTCTCATTTGCCTTTCAGCTAGCTCATAGATGAAGTTTTCTCCAGAGAGTGCAGAATTTCGTTACTTGGGATTCTAAAGAGGCAGGTGAATGGGTGTACTCTGTAGCTAAGACTGTGTTAATCTTGGGAATACTTTCATTGCTTAAAGGTAAACTAGAACAACCTTTGCATTCTGTAATTCTGGATTTGTATAGATGAAGATCTATGTCTACAAGATACTCTAGGTTATAGATTATTGTGTGGTTAATGATATTCTGGGGATATAGTAAGATACCTGTGGTATAAAGGCTGAAATGGAATATATTATTGTTTGGGCACTATACTCTTTTTTTATGGAGATAATACTGGCACTGACCCCAGCAAATTTCCCTTTGTATTTGGATTCTGTCTTTGCATGTTGCATGCACCTCTCTGCTATTCTGGAAAAATGAGAGGTCCAGGGCATATTTTTCGTACTATCAGTGGACTAGCTGGAAAAATTCTATATGTGCTTTAGATTTTTGTTGTGAAACTGCACACATTCCTTCTGATTTTAATCTGCAAAAGGTATTCTACAAGCCAAGCATCAGGGCAATTTCATCAGTGGTTTTATAGAGTACTTCATACTCCTCAGAGGAAAATTTTGGAGAAAAATTTATTGCTCAGATTATTCATCTTGACTGATCACTGCTTCATCATACCTGTGTGACTGAACTTCTTGTCAGCTGTCAAATGCATCAATTACATTGTGACATCTCGGGAGCAGTTTGGAAAAGACAAGTGGCATTCAGAACTTAAATATTAAACTTAAATATCAAGTCAGCAATGTTTGAGTTAATTTGCCACAAGGGCACCAATCTTAGTGCTGAATATCCAATATCCAATACTGGTTCATTTTGCAATGTATCGTCATTCTCATTGTCTTTCCTTTCTGTTTATACCAGACGAGTATTAATTTCATTCCTTGCTGCATCTCAGCACACACATACTCACCTCCAGACAGGTCTAAAGATCTAATATGATATCATCACTATATAATAAATGTAACATCTGGTCGTGGTGGTGTTCTGACTCTTTTATTGAGTAATTCAGCTCCCAACTGTTTGCAACAGTCAAGGATCTGATTATATTGTTATGGATTCTGGCCAGCTATTCCTTTGTCAGGGAGATTGCCAGTTAATAACCCAGGATGGTTAGCAGAAGTCTCTTTATGGAGCTAATTGTTAGACAGCTTTATTGATGCAGAGGTCTCTCTGGGAAGTCTTTCCCTGCAACCAAGATTCCCTGTAGCCAGCATGCAGGAGAGCAGTTATAGTAATAATGTGTGTCCTGCCTGGAAGGGAGAAAAGCAGTTTGAGGGTGATTTCAGACTGGACATTATTGCCCAATTGCTCTTCTGCAGATGGAAGAGCAGCTGATTCCCCCCCACCGCACCCCCAGCAGCAATTTTGCACATTTTAAACATCGCACCATGTTTCATCCATACTTTTGTACATGACATAATGTGTAATAATCAGTTCAGTGTTGTTTTGAAATTTATTTTTAAAATTATACTGAAACACTGTTAAATGTAAATACCATTTTATAAATAGTTCTGTAACTTTATAAAATTGTTTTAAAGTGTCCCAGAGAAAAAATGATGGATAATGGAGAGAAAAGGTAATAAAAAGCTGCCATCTGGAAAGACCACAGAAGGCAGCTTCTTTTTAATTCATATTTTATATTGAAATAAAACATTTTTCCTCTGTTAAGAGCTATTGTTGTACAGGGATTTCGTTTTTTTTAAAAAAATACAGTATGTGGAGAGATGGTAGTAGCTCTAATTGAGAGCTCAGTTTAAAAAATAAAAAATGGTGATAAGATGATGCCTCTGGGGAAAGTAGGTGTGTTTCAAAGCAGACCCGCAACTCACCCACTCCTCCACACATCACTGTGCCACATCGAAAGCAAAGTCACTTTGAGGCCATCTGCACTTTTGGAGGATACGCTATGGTTCTGTTCTTTTCCAAATCTGGATTTTTCTGAGGTCTGAAAAAAGATAATAGAACCATTGAGAAAACTCAGAAGAACACATTGGACAATGAATGTTGGGAACACAACTGGTCTGGATCTTCTTTTTCTTTCCATTCCTTCCCCTGCCAGTGGCTGGACTTCTCTGTTTCTCTCTTGACTCTGGAAGGGGCCGCTCAAAGCCACGAGGTTGTATTGCATCCAAACCAGCCTCCCAAGGTTCTTCAGCCAATACGTTTTTCTCCTTCCTACATATCTTTTCCCATTTATTTTACTTTAAATGATCAAGTATAGCAGTCTGTAATCCTCTTTTCTCATTGCAAGGCTGAAGTAGTCTACCCTGCTGCATTTTATGTATTTTCTTATTCCTTGGTGTTTTTATTCGTTCTCTTGGTCAATAGAGGAAATTCTTAGCATCTTGCAATAAATCCACACTTTCAACGCTTCTATCTCTTTTGTAGCACCCTGTGTATTACATGCCAGTAGAACCAAGAATATATAGCACTGTACAATACGCATTTTCAAAGCTAGTTTGAAGTTTTTGTTGCCTATTGTAACAAAGGAAAATGTTCCTGTACACTCTATTCTGATTTATACTGCGCAGTATCAGTATCTGAATCAGAAAGTGCTTCTCTAAAGATGTTCTTGGGATATCCAAGTATACATCCAAATTATACTCTTCTTTGTCTCTTTGTATCATCTGTCATTTAAACTTCTAACTGTGCTGCAGCTTTTCTTTTGCCAGTACCCTGTCGATTACATATCTCTTGTATCATGATATTTGTTTACTGACAACTCTTTAACAGTTTGCTGTCTTAGACTTAAAAGCTTTCT